ATTCGTTAGTTGAGTTGTTTGGAATTGAAATTACAGAGTATTCGGCCCATTGCAATCGCCTTCGGGCCTTGGAACGATTGGCATCCAAAGCCGATCTGGGGGACCCTTGGCACTGTCCAAGAATCGGAATATACGTCATCCCGGAGCGAAAGGTCCGGACTGGAGGCGGGACCAACGGTCGGGGCTACAAAAGGCAACAAGGGGAACGTTCTGCGATCGAGATCTTCAAAATCCGCACTGATGCAAGAATCCCCATTGTGTGAAGTTACTTAGAGATAGTCCGTGCCAGGCCGCCCCACTTTGGTCCTCTGCAAATAGTCTGTGAGGCGCCTTGCACCTTTAAAAAAGATAACTCTTTCTTCGACCTTTTTTCTACTATTTGCAATCGATGCAGTGTCCCGTATCACGCACCCACATACAAGATACCGAGTACGTACATACCTACATACAAAGTATCTTTGCTACCGAGGTCGGAGGGATGGGCCGACGGAGCCAGGTACATACAGCCTGCGACCGCTGCCGCCAGAAGCGAGCAAAGGTAAGGATCAGCACCTCTAAAGCTTCCTTATGAAAAGCGTTGAAAAATAAGTGCTGTGGGTCAATTGGCTTGATTTGATTCAAACCCCGCTCCCCGCTCCCAAACTCTTAACTCTTTCAATCTCACACCACGGCCCATGTGCATCCACTCTTTTCCACTTTTTATAGCACACTAACATGTACTGAGACGGAATTGGACATAGTGCGACGGCAACCTACCATGCCAGAGATGCAACGATGCCGGCGACGAGTGCAAGTACAACTACGTACGGCAGGAGTCCAAGGGGCAGCTACGCGCTGAGACGGAGCAGCTGAGGCAGAACAACGCCGACAGCGATGCCCTTCTCCGAGCCATTGCATCCATCCCGGATCCCCATGTCTGCAAAGCTGTGATGCAGGGCCTGTTAGACGGCAGCATCTCGCGTCACGATATACTCAAGCACGCCCAGTTTTATTCACCAAAGCCCGACAGCGGGACCACTCTCCAACAACCTGAACCAACAAGCCCACGCTCAACCTCGACCTCTTGTTTCGAACAACTCCTATCTTGGCAGTCATGCCTCCCCCACCTCCAAGGTGACCATGATAGGCAACTGGAGACACGGGGAGCCAGTCGTGCCACTTCAGTCCAGCCGACAAGCCTGTTGCTCCCACACTTACCTCTCGACGCATATACCACGCAGTCGCACATCGACCCTTGGACCAAGACCGGCTGGACCAACGCACACATCCGCCACTTGATCGACGCCCTCCGTACCTGGGACCATCTCCCGTTTTGCCTTCTTTTTCCGAGGACCTCTTTCTGCAGGGACTACACCAGCGGGTCAAATCCCGGTTTCTGTTCGTCCGCCCTGGTGCATGCCCATCCTAGCGCTGTCGGATTCGCCTGATAAACGAGGGCAGCGACGGATGGCGGGAGCCTATCTGTCGGGATGGCCGGAGGAGCCGGTCCTTGCTCGACACGGGCCAGGAAGCTCCTCCGGGACACCAAGCCACCCAGCACCCTCCCGGACGTGCAGGCCCTTGGCATGCTCTCGCTGTACTATCTTCGGTGTGGCCGTGAGACCGAGGCTCATGAGTACGCTGATGGCTTCGTTACTGGCATGACCGAGCTCTTCCAGGCCCCGCCGCATTCCGTACAAGTAGAAGAGAAAAGCCACGCCGAATCAATTACCATGTCCTACTGCGCTGCAGTGTCCCTCAAACGGTACAGGGCATCTGAAACGGAGCTTAAAATCAACCTCGACCACAGTAGCTAACCATGGCGCATAGCCATGCTTTCTCTGATTACGGGGCAAGTATTCAATAACCCCATCACGACCCGCCCAAGAAGGACCTATTCTTCCTTGAGTCCACCCCCCAGCATTGACGGGGAAGAGGCCAGCCAGTAGTGCCAGTAGTAGCCAGGCGATCCAGTGAGTATTCCCAAAAGAAGTCACTGGACCAAAATTCCTGGGGCCAAGGAGCACTAAGGCTGGGGGCAGTCAGTCACTCATCCCGGTCTGGGAATAACCAAGCCCCATGCAGCACACCTATTCCAGTTCACGAAGTGGGTGTACCAAGCCATGGTTTTTGGGCGTTCGGACATCCAGGCAGCTGGCGGGGAGGCGGGAGATTGGTACATGCGCTGTCTCAACTGGTACACCGATTTATGTCCCCTCTTAGCCCACGAGGACGGCGGGACCCCATTTGTACTGTTCATACAGAGAGCGCCCCCCCCCCCCCCCCCTGGTCTCCTCAACAGACACACCTCCTCCCCCCACCCAACCAAAACCTCACCCCACCGGCACCTCCACCCCTCCACTAACCACAACCCCCCCCTTCCCCAACAAAAGCATGTACTACCACTTCTCCCTCCTATGCGCCTTCCGCCCCTTCCTCGGCCACACCCTCGACAACACGGGCATCCAGCCCCTCGAGGTGTGCACGCAAGCGGCCAAGTCCATCCTTTCCCTCACCCAGTCCTATGACGACCTCTTCACCCTACGCCGCGTTTCCGGGTTCATGCCGTACTTTATCACGGCGGCGGCGCTATTTAGTATTTCGGTGGAGGGTGGTGGTGGTGGTAGTGTTGGTGTGGTGGGTGATGGTGTTGGTGGTGTGGTGGATGGTGGTTATCGCTTGGCGGGCGATGGTATGGTGGATGGGGATGGGGGTGAGAGGAAGGATGGGGATGTGGAGATGGGGGAGGCGGGTGAGATCAATGGGTTCGGGGGGAAGGAGGAGGAGGGGAGGTTACTCGTCGTCCCTAAGAGTTCGACGACGCCTTCGACTGGTGCGGGAGACGGTGATGCCCAGCGCGTCGGGTTTCTCCGTCTGCTACGAGCTCCATCTCGCAGGCCTATGTGACAGTGTCGGCTGTTACTCATGCGCGGTTGTTGTTGGCAAAGATGTCGATTACGCATCCTGCTGCGGCGGTGGCGGGGAGGGTTGCTCGAGGGAAAGATCTGAGCTGGGGCTATCATAGAACGATACAACGACCAGCCGAGGCGAAGGTTGGGTGATTTGCGGGCATGGTTGGATATGGGACAGAACAAGGCGTTATAGACATATGGAGGAGCGGTTCTCTAAACAGTGCAAATAGACTGCATCACACAGACGGATGAATACGAGTTGAGCCTATCCTAGAGTTCACTAGAATTGTAAATGTTGCACAGATGATATCCGGGGAAGCAGCAGCGGCTAAGCTTACGGCAAATGACTACTGCTGGAAAACGAGTTTGGCAACGTATTCAAACGATCTAATACTCATCGAGATCCGCAGAAATGGTAGGTATACTCCCGTACCTCGCGATGTTATATTCCCAGAAACCCACCAAACGAGGATGCAATTGCCTTCCCATTATAGATTCCGTACTCAAGTTGTTCTCCTCAGACCCGTTTTCCCGGCCGTATCCACTGACAAATCCTTTCCCATTTCCCCGGCTTTATTTCCTTGAACCGGGTATCTTGAGTAGAGTTAGCTCGCCTCAAGTTTACTCACTTGGCGACCTGGGTTATACGCACAAGTGTAGTACCCAGAGGTTAGGACTTTGCAGCTTCACTTACGATGTTGGCAAAGCCGCCCGCCAGGTACTCTCTTGTACGGGCAAAGCCACATGACCTTGCATATATCTAGATTTTGGATTGGCCAAACATCTTTCCCTGAAGCCCAGACACCAAAGAGAGACTCACGGGCGCTACATGCCTCCGCATCGCCCCATGCAACTGGTTTACGGCATTGCCAAGTTTCCCCGGTTGCGGTGCAAATATCTATTTTCATATCAGCATTTTGGTACAATGTTTGATGGGGATACTAAGCCATTTTCTTGCTTAAGCACTTACGATTCTGGCAGCAGCTGCTCATCCAAGTCCGAGATTCGTTGCACTCATGCATGACACAGACCATTTTATGGTCATTCTTATTGTCAAGCGGCTCCCCAAGAGGCATAATAATAACGGCTTGAGAATAATTATGATAGATGTTGTCAGACGCAATAGCCACAAGGAACGGGACTCATTGAGCGAGAGGCGGGTGAGGAAACCTCTGTCTTTGCGAGGCGAGCTGGCTGGAGTACATGTACTTGTATGCGGTAAATGTACCCCTGTTGCCAAGTGAAGCGACAAGCACCCTACGCCAATTATTGAGGCACGCCCCTTTCCAACTTTCGCCGGACACAACCGCACAGCCTGGCGCTTCAGAGCGAAGCCGTCATCACCATGGCCAGACACATACCGCGTTTCCGAATGTAATGATGGCGGCAATGGGTCGGATGGTACAAATGACAACTTTAAAAGCTGGCATGGTAATTAAACCTTGGGAGGATAATTAGTGCTATTCAAAGCGAGGTCTGCCTCTCTTTATGGAGCCCACCGACAAGAGAATCATTCTTTAATAAACATCCCTATCACAACAGCGACCGGGTGGAAATCTAGAAATAATACCGCAAACTTGAACTGACTTACAAGCACCAATCAGTATGCGAGGTGGCGACGATAGGAACAGCTCCCCGTCTGAGATTGCGCGTCAGATGGGCAATTTAACCTGAATCGCCCTTCTTCTAACCGGGATTCAGAGCAACGGGCCTGTAACAGCCCAGACCAGAGTGCTGAGCTTTCTCGAGGACCTCGAATATCTACGGTTACCTCGGCGTTCAGAAGGCGGGAGAGGGCATCTGACTGACATCCGGGTGGACTGTCTGTAGCGACGTTTGGTATCGCCAAGCTTCAACTGTGCTTTCTACTTAGTTAGATAGTTATATTACCAGAATTTCTTTTCAAACCAACATACATGGTGAAAGAAGGTGGTCAAGATAAACTAGCCATGGCTCTTTCAGCTCTCTCCAGCTCCACAATATTGATGCAACACTACCAAGGGCGCTCAGGAGGTCGGCCCGGGCCGCAAACTTACCCCGCAAAAATAATCCTCAACTCCGGGTCCCCCACAAAAGTCAGCCCTACAAATCTTGGGTTCCCGCTCCCATTGGGCAAGACGGGGGGTTGAGACTGGGGTGCTATTTCAGCTGTCTCAACCTTCAGGAAAAGAGACGAAACGGGAGAAGTCAAAAAAGGAGAAAAGAAAAAAAGGAAAGGAGGATGGATTTCTTTTCATATTGCAACTCGGTCAAGTCGGTGGGTCAAGACCTCAAGATGGGGGATCATGAAAATCTGGGGTAGGAACAAACGAATGGGTTGTGGAATACCCATGACATCGAGTCCCCTGCATTTGCCCATCACCCTACGGCCCGGCGGCATGAGGTACGTGACTAACACGGAGTGCCCTTTATGCCCTCGCCCTTCGGTCATACCATGATAAGGTCATGGTGGCCAATGCCGGGGGCCTGGGTCGGAGAGTCAGGGGCCAGGTATATGACGTCCAAGGCCAGGTTACATGCACTAGGAATGCCAGAGCTATCGTCGTCTGCTTTCAAGAACACCAAGTCTACCCAGTTAGCAACTGCCCAGCGAGATTGGTTCTAAACATAACTGGTCCCCGCGGTCTCAATGATGGCGGTTTGGATGCGGCGATATTCAACAACGACGGACTGCTGCGTAGGTAGCATCCAAGCCTGAAATGCTTGCCACTTCCGGTAATGATCGCCACTCCTATGCTTCCAAGGCTTCCAAGGCTTCTTGGAGAGCCGCAAAAAAGCGGCTGAACTGAGCCATGCGGACACACGGGTTTTTTTATACTGACAAGACTGACAAAGATCATCGTGTGTCCATTCGATCGGGAGCTGAAAAAGCCGCCCATCGATGGCAATGGCGGCCAACCCTCCAACCAATTGAAGACAAGTAACAAATGCAAGTCGTTAACAGATGGGGGCGGCGCTGCAGCGCTGCAGCCTCCACCTCGAACTCGGCTTGGCATCTCGCCTGCCCTGCTTTGATGACGTAGCCATCTATCTATCGCTTGCTAAATTCCAAGGCTTCGACACGATGGCGACCACCCATGCCTTCCGAATTTGTGTGCCTCGTCCGTGGTTGCTTCCTTCCGTACCGCTCAACTCTCACCGCATCTCGGCGGCCACTTAGTTTAATTTTTGGAACCCTAATCTGGCCACCAAACGCATTTTCCTGGCACATTTCTGGCACTTTTGCACTTTCGGGCATTCGCACTTTTGTTAAATACATACACTAGAGTGGCAGCGCCTAGACTCCAAGAGGCAAAAGACTGGGCACCTTAAAGATTGTTCCAGTCCCGGCCGGGTACTACCATCCATTCCACCTTCACGCCACCTCGCTCGACTCCCACCGTGATCCAAGTTGTCGGTGCCCTTGATCGCTGACCTTGATCGCCGACCTAAACCATTTGCGCCTTAGATCACCCAACACCATCCACGGGCAGGGCGTCCCAGGTGATGGTGGATTTTCTGGAATGGTCTTATGAAGAAATCTTCTACTTAATCTGTTATGTTTTGGCCAAATAGGGAGCTTGATACCGAGCAAACGGGATACCCCGTAACATCTCTCCCTCCCATCTTCCCACGCCCCCGCGGAACGGGAACAAGGAGACCCAGAAATCTTTCGATCGAGCAGCCTTATGAGCTCCCCGTCAAGAGCTTGAAAGCCGCATCGACAGCTGCCAGGCGGCCGCCCAAGAAGATGGAGGACATTCCCGTGACTCCGAGTACTCAACCCCCCGAATCCTACAATGACTTACCGACTGTCAGTCCCCCCGGGGGTAGCAATCTAGGAGGGAGCCTCAGGAAGGAACGCGGCGCAATAGCAGCGCAGGTCAGTCAAGTTTTAACGGGACCAGCTACCTCCATGCACCCAGGCAGCTGTTCTCTCTTTTCCCCCAGGGTCTAACCCCCTCTCTCTTTCCAGGCTTGCGATACTTGTCGGAGCCGTAAACAAAAATGTGACGAACAACGGCCGAAGTGCAGCACCTGCCAGAAGTTCCGCCTCGAATGTAACTACCGAGAACCCCAACCAACCAAGTATGCTCCGACACATCTTAGATGGAACTCCACCTATGCCGAGGCTCCCGACTAACAACACCAAAGGAAAGATAAGACGATGGTCGAGATTCTGGATCGAATCAAGAGCCTGGAGGTCAAGCTTGACAATCTGAGCCAGCGCTCCGCTATGACGCCCTCAATATTGGGGCTCACAATGCCAGCCTCGCTACCGTCACCGCTCCCAACCACACTGGGGTCGGGGTCTGTAGGTCAACCCACGGATCCCCCGTTTCAATTCCCCAACATCTCGAACGCCACGCCGGGGGGAGATAATCAATATCGATACGTCTCGTCCGTCCATCAGATGCTCAAATGGCCAGCGATGCAGCAGCTTTTGATGTCGATACAGCCAAAACTTCCGAATATCGACTTGTCAGTCTTAGAGAGAGAGGGCCCAGCAAGCATGGTCGCTCTTCGCCGGTCATCCATCAACAGTCTACCGACAGACCCCTCTACGCAGCCCGGCCGAGGTTCCACCATCAGCGTCCACGGATCGGTCGCGGGCCAGAATTCTATAACCGTTTCCGACTTGAACTGGGAAACCATGCAGAGACTAGCCAAGGCTTATTTTGACAGCTTCAATCTCCTCTGCCCCGTCCTCAACCGACAACCCTTCGTGTCTGAAACTTTACCCGCGCTCTTCAATAGAGGATTCGACGATAGCATGGCCTCGACTATTGCATTTCTCGTTTTCGCTCTGGGGGAAGTTGCCATTGCCGGTTACGAAGGTTCACCGATTCATGTGTACAATGGCCGTGCCAGCGGTATAAAAGGGGGTACCAAAGAGGCGCCCCCCGGGTTACATCTTTTTAACGAAGCCCGGCGACGGATGGGTTTTAATCTTACTTCATGCAGTCTCGAGAACGTCCAGATTTTTGAACTTGCTAGGTAGGCCCCTTTGCTACTTCGAGTCACACGTGCCACTAACGCTATGTAGTATCTACTATGGGTCGTGTTTCTACCCACTGGTTTGTCCTCCCTCTGGACCGATTAGGAGCGCGTCTCAGGTTTTGCTAACTGGTATTAGGACTTTTGGAGAATGACCACTTCTGCCTCGATGGCTTGTCAAGCACTCATCACGAGGTATCTACTAGATTCCGGAGCGATCCTCCGCCAGAGCTAACATTTCTCAGCCATCCGAATATCCTATCCTCCGCACAGGCGGATCTAACACGCCGGTCTTTCTGGCACTGCTCGGTCATGGAAACGTATGGTCTCACTCACCCAAGAACCATTGTTGTACCCTGCTGACACCTTGACCCAGTGGCTTAAACCTTGAACTCGGCTTTCCGCTTACCGGGCTGGAGAGGATGGAGTCTACCGTTGGGCTGCCTGACTTTAGCGGGCCATACATGGAGGACGACCACCTGAGCAACCAGGAATCGCACTTCCAGGAGCACTTTGCCTCTCAGATTGTCCTCCGCCGGCTTCTGGTCGACTTCCACGGTGCCTTGAATGTGAATCAGAGTGAGTCCTCCCTTCCCCGCCACAAGTTCTGCTGTAAACGGTTCCCTAACCATACACCCCCTAGGTCACACGGATCCGTCAACACTGGGCCAAATGTCAGCAGGCCCCTTCAGCCCCGCGCCACCAACCTACCCCAGCGTCAACGAAACCACGATCCGCCCACTTGCAACCCAACTCGAAGAATGGCGCGGCATGCTCCCCGCGCACCTCCGCTGGCACGACGACGCGCCCGGCGTCTACCCCAACGCACCCGTCGATCTCTACACCCCCACCACAGTAAACTCCCTCTTCACCCCCGCCACGACCCCCATCTCCCCGGCCATCCCCACCACTAGCGGCGGCACCACCACCTCCCAACAACGCCAACTCCACCAACCCCCCACCTCCGCCACGCCCACCGCGCCCCGCGCCCCCACCGCCCCCCTCATGTTCACCGCCGACCTCGACGCCCCCGCCACCCGCTACCCCTACGTCCTCGACGTACAGGTCGCCCTCCTCCGCTCCCGTTACTACTACACTAAGTACCTGATCCACCGCCCCTTCGTCTACAAGGCCCTCCACCACCCCACCGCCCTCTCCCACACCGACGCCGCCGGGCGTCGCCACCTGCCTCAAAGCCGCCCTCAAATGGCCCGTCGCCATGTCGCCGACGTGCCGCAACAAGCGGCTGGTGCCGTGCTCGTTCTTCTTCACGCAGAACTTCTTTGGCATTTTGGTGTTGTTGCATCTGAGTACGACGGTGCCGACGCTGAGTCAGATACGGGGGACCTTGTGTGGTGGGGAGAGGTTTGAGGCGGATGCGAGGGAGACGGTGGGGCTGTATTTGGATTGGTTAAGGGATTTGAAGGGCGTGGATCAGGCGACGGTGTGGCATTGGGAGGTGGTGAAGGCGCTTTATGGGGTGGCGGAGTAGGTGGAGGAGGGAGGGAGAAGAGGGAGAGGGAGAAGGAGGGAGGGAATGAAGGCTGGGGGGGGAATGGGGGGTTGGGTTTGAAGGGTTTGAAGGGTTTGAAGCGGGGTGGGTTAACTTTGTTTGTGAGTGAGTGAGTGAGCTATTGGTTTATGGGACATAAGGGAGTGAGTTTATCTACTTTATGGAGGAGAGGCGGAGTTTGGAAGACTGCGGTGTGGAGGCGTAGAGGAACCTAGAATTACTATCCAATAAGTATTATAAGTTGTTGTATAGATCAGATCAAGCTGCCATCCTCTTCGTGCACCTAGCTTGATGGTCTATCGGATGTACAGATCGACATGGCTCCGACTACGTATGTGACTATCCATCCTCGTTTCCATTCTGGGAGTTTATAAGAAGACAGTTAAGACAAGAAGACAAGGACCTCCGTTAGTACATTGTAGATCAACGCTGAAGATGGCTTCAGAGATGTGATGTCCTGGTTATTATTACGCTTACCATTTCTACCGCACCGAACACTGGCTTCATATCGAGCAACAATCGGATTGGCAAGGCAACATTACACATAAACTGTCAAAAGTCAAAAAAAGTCTTCTAACGTATATTATAAGCGAGCGACGCATATAAGCGAGCGACGCGCTTTCTCCCACCTTGCAACAACTATCTACAATCACAACACAACAACCCTAGCAACTAACTACAATTACATCGGAAACAGCTGCATCAGAGACCTCTGCAGCCTCCTCTCGGAAGTACGCACATTATGGCCAGGCTTGCCACACTTACTACAGCGCCGAACCTTCGCACGAGCCCCCCCTGCACCACTACTATCCGGCTGTGTTTCCTGCAGTGCCCCCTTACCCACATCCCTCTGGTCCAGTGGATCCTGTGCATCTTGTACAGTAAGTGGCCCTCCAAGCTGTATGCGTGTTCTTTTGGCTTTCCGGCGCTTGCTTAGTGGTTCGTTGGCCTTACGGAGCGAAGAGACCTCTGACTGAAGAAGAGCCACTTGGTGCATTACAGCCGTTGCACCTTTGGTAAGCTGGTCAACTGCAACTAACACCGAAGCTGGGGAGCTATTTTGGTAGCTGGAAATCCGGGTCTTGATGAAGTCTGACTGCGAGCGGGTTTCCTGGGCATTATACGGGGTCTTAGAGGCCCAAGGCTGTGCAGTGCCAGGCCTGGAGTCTGGGTGTGTTGGTGTATGAAGCTTGACATCCAGCTTAGAAAGCACCCTCTCTGGATCGAATGGTACGATACCGGCCCCTGAAAACCCACCCTGAATATTCTTCTCTGTCATGGAAGCAAAGAAGGCTTCGCGAAAGGCACAAAGGAACTCGAGCTTGGTGATATGGTTGATGTGTGCGCGCATCAGCTCGTCGATCAGGCGACCGTATGCCTGTCCTGGATTACAGTCGCCCACTCGCGGTTACCAGGCTGGGCTAGTTTAGCCTTGCTACGGCCGTCTGAGGTCGTAACTAATTACCATACCCGCGAAGATGATGCCCATCATAAGCCCAGTCTCGTCGAAGTTATAGACATCGTCATCAACAATCCCATATTTGGGCCTTAGCGTCCTGTACAAGCGTAAACCACTCGCCAATGACCTTTGGATCTTCGCACTTGGCCCTCTGGTAATCGTATCTACGCGTACGACGCGTACGGAAGCTGTGGCTGGCGCTTGACGAAAGTTGAGGGCCCAGAGCTTGCCGACAGGGGGCGCATCGCGTTCGCGGAGCAGGTGGTTGGCCATATCTTCCACACCACGCAGTCTAGGGGGAAATGCGCGCGCATCCAGTTCCAGTATATATTGAACTATCGTACGCTCTTCCAGGTCCGTAAGCTTACGCGAGTTGGCTGGTAAATCACGTCGTGCAGACCGGCCAGTACATCGGTGGCGAATCGTTGCTTCCGGAACGTTGTACTGTCTGGCTGCGGCCCGGATACTGAGATTTTTGTTCTTTCCGATGGCTTCAACGGCCATGCGAAGCCTGGCTTCTCTTGGGGGGCTACGCATGGCTGGTTGTGGTGGGATCTGGTGGAACAGGAAGAGGAGACGCGTGGCGGGGAACAGTGCGTCGCTCGCTTATATGCGTCGCTCGCTTATAATACACGTTATGGACCGTATTATATTCAGGTGAAGGCCACTCCTATTCTATTCTAGATCTAGCGAAGCTCTACCCCAAAACTACAAAAACAAATATGCTGTTTAAATTCACCATATACATAGTATATCCCAAACGCCCATGCTTGATGCTCGTGACTCTAAACAAAAAAAAAACACAAAATATCCAGAAAGTCTACGCAGCAGACTAGGCAACCTCCATCACATCAACTCGACGCCGACGCGGCCGAGGAGGATTTCTCACTCGGCCGCGACTCGATCACGGGAGACTTTCCTTTCTCCTTGGCATCACCAGTTACGAGCTTTTCGTCGGTCGTCTTCTTGAAGTAGTCGTTCACCTGGTCGGTCCACTCCTCGTCATCGGCCTCCTCGGGCCCGGCGGCCTCGCCACCGGCTTCCCTTTCGCGACGCAGACGCTCCTTGCCAGCCCACTCCTCTCGCATGTCCTCAATTCTCTGCTTGATGTCAAGCTCGGGGTTGTAGTTCTTGCCGACACCCTTCATGCGTTCCCAGAGCGAGAGGTGCTTGGGGTGAATGGCGATGCCGTGGTAGTCGGCGTCGCGGCCGGTGCGGATATAAGCCCAGCGGCGCTCTTGCTCCTTGAGGTCCAAGCCAGTGGTATCCGGGAGGAATAGCCAGGTCAAAAGCATGCCGGCAAGGCCGAACCAGGGGACAACGTAAAACTTGGTCTGGGTGTCGATGTAGTTGTAGAGCACCGAGGCGAGTAGAGCGCCAGCCTTGCCGATGCAGGCACTGAAGCCGTGGGCCGAGGCGCGGATGGGCGTGGGGAACACCTCGCCAGCCACGAGGAAGGTGACGCTGTTGGGACCAAACTGGTTGAAGAAGCTGGACAAAAAGTACATGGCCTGGAATGCCTTGATGCCGGCCGGTGAGGTGTAGTATTCGTAGTTGAAGGCGGGGATGACGAACATGATGAAACACATCAGGAAGCCGACCTGCTGCATCATTTTGCGGCCGTAGAATTTGTTATCAATGAGGATCGAGGCCAGGTAATAGCCGACAAGCGAAACGATGACGTTGTACAGGTTCCAAATCCAGCCGGTCATGACGGAATGCGGGTTGTTGCTGATGACGGCGATAAACTGGGCCTGGAAGAGCTTGTTGCCGTAAAAGAAGACGTCGTTGCAGAACCAGGTCCCGGCTGTGGCGAGCAGGCGTCCTCCAAAGAAGTTGCACGCCAGGCGCAGCGAGTCCACATCATAGCCCGTGACGTTGCTCTTCTTCTTCGCGGCAGCGAGCTCACGGCTGGCATGGGGCATCTTGTAAGAGCGGTAGTACACGAGCCACAGCGTTCCCACGGCAGGGATGGCAAACGACAATCGCCATATCCACTGCACAGTCGTGGTGCCGTACGGCGGGTTCCCATCGCCGTGATGGAAGATCAGGAGCAGGATGATCAGCATGGCCTGGTTGATGAGCTGGCCCCAACCTTGCATCAGGAAAGCCATGGTGACCTTGCGGCCACGGTGGAGGCGATCGTCGCGGGTCGAAAGCTTGCCAGCCGAGACGGCGTTTTCCATGGAAGATGTCGCGGTGATGGGATATTCACCACCGACGCCAAAACCTAGGACATGTTAGCACAAGGACGATGGCGGGTTTCGCTGGGACCAACATACCGTAAAAGAACAAGGACCAGGCGTAGCAGATGACCCAACCGTTCAGGTTCAAGCCCCAGCTCGCCGTGATCATGAGCAAGCCCACGAACATGATGGCGGCGTCCTGGATGAGACCCCAGCGGCGGCCAATCCAGTCTCCAATGACACCGACGGCCATCTGGCCGACCATGATGCCGATAACTTCGAGATAAGTGACGGACGCAATCCAATTGGAGCTGCACTCGGTGGGGTTCTTCCCCCAGCACGTAGGCCAGGTAGAGCGGAAGAGCGGCTCGAGGTTGCCAATGCTGAAGAGCACGTAACCTTCGAGGCCGAGGCCGGCACCGGGGAGAACAGCGTTGCGGAAGTACCAGCTCACGGGGCTGAGGGGATCGGCCTTGAGCATGGTGCCAATCTCGGCCAGCTCCCGCTTGGTCTCCTCATTCTGAACCTTATTGACGAAAGCGATCCGTTTCCCAAGCGGGAGGTCGGCCCAGTAGACACCGTCGGGCGTGTAACAATCATCCGGATGGGTCAAATGCGCGAAGATGGAGCGCTCCTGGTTTGTGGCGTTGCCGGCCGGGTAGTGGTCGTGTTCATTGCCTGTTGCAGGGCCATGAGGAACGGGAATCTCGCCGACGCTGGGATCGTGACGGTCGTGATGCCGAATGAGGTCCGCCATTTCCTCGAGTACTAAGGAATTGAACCTCGGAAGAAGGCGCGTGTGTAGAAGGTGTTTCCTCTGCGATCGTGAAGGGGGAGAAGATGAGAGGAAACTTCTCCGTGAGGAAAGGTAGTGAAGGACCAAAGTGGTGGAGATGAGCGTGAAGAAAGGAATGGGGGAGAGAAGGGAAGGGAAGGGCAGGTGGGCTCTATAAACTCAGTCGGAAGGGGGACCGTGCTGAAACTGATTTGGGAAGAAGTAGCCTGGCGAGCCTAGAGGCTTGAGAACCTTCTCAAGTCGTGGTGGGGGAGGGGCAGGTGGGTGCATCCGTGCCTGGTAACTCCAAGGCACACTGGGGCGACCAGTGACACGCAAATTTGCGACCAATGACGGTAGACCGAGCGCAGAAATCGTTTCTGGATGGCGAATATCACGGGCATTTTCCAGTCCACCAACTCCACAACTTGCCTGATCAGGCAAGGCCCCAATGCCCGTTTCTTGCAAGCTTGCGGGCATGCCTGCATGCAATTCGGTCTGGTTCGATTCCCATGCATCTTTGGCACTCCCGAGGTGCAACTCTGAAGTTCAGAGGTACAGTAACTAGGTACCGCCACGCAACCCCCGTTCGGAAGGAGGTCGCGTGTCCCTCCCGCACCCATCTACCCGCATTTTTGGCTTGAAAGGGGAATCCACGTAAAACAATTGCTCAGCCATGCTTGTGCACCATCTCGAAACACTTACCGGCGGCTCTCAAGCCATCCTCGAGGTCCTGACCGAAGAATGTTTCACCCCCGTGCAACCAACCCCACGCGTCCTGGCGACTCGAACTTTGTACACGGCACATTGCTCTTTGCCGTCTTGCCGACTGAGAGACTCGTCGGAAACTATCACCGGGTAGAAAGTGGAACCCCGAGTTCTCCGCAACCCCACGCCTCACCGCCTGCCTCCCCGCTTCGCCAATTCGAGGTCAGTTCGGACACAGACAGCACCAGCAGGAGCAGCCCACGGTCCGTCCCGATGTTCAACGTCAACGCCATCATCGATATCCCATGATGCCAAGTCGTTCCCCAGATCTCCAAGCAAAAACAAGCAATTGAACAAATGCTTAATTACGCCAGCCAAGCGTACCAAGCTCTCTTGGCCTTCGACCTCCCAAACCGACGACAAACAACAACCAAGCAAGCCGCCCACGTTGCGTGGATCGGTGATGTGAAGGGACGTGGCAGAATCGCCCCCCAGGCCTAGACCCCTGCATTCGCAGAAAACGACTAGTCCAAACGGTAATAGCGCAGATCTCGGTTCCTGGCCCGCATCAGACCAACCAGGACCTGGGACCCACCCACGTGGTGCCTTGATAGGGTCTGGGGAGAGCTTAAAACTTGTCGCACCGAGCCAAGCTTGGCAGCAAAAACTGCTGCTCACACGCTGACCCCCACCCCGCAGTTCCCGAGCTCAGCCATCTCATGTCACGGAAAATCGACAACTTGTTGGTGGTGGAAACACCGGAAATAACAAGCAGGATTGACGGCGGCTGGCCTCAGTTAACCCAATGTCTCTTAGAATTGTCTGAATCTCACCATTTCTCGGCTGATTCTTGCCCCCGAACCACCAAGCCCATCCCATCTTGAACCGACGACCCCAAATCCTGCAACAACGAGGCTCGTTGTGTGGTGAGTCTTGGCTTGCTTGGCTTGCTTGGCGCGGCACCTCGGATCTATCTCATTGGACGGGCCTATCCAGGGTCTCGACGACGTCGAAAAGAGGTCGCGTGCCCTCCTTCCTGATCCAAGGAACTCAACGACCGACGGGGTCCTTCAGCTCGCGTCTCCGAGTCGTCCGAGGTCGGCACATCGGGGGATGACCAGAGAGAGATGGCCCATTACGCAGCTTGTGTTCATCCCGCCCGTGTGGCACAGATAGATCGGTTACCCATGTGCTACCGGGATTCGGGTACGTAAAAAGAAGGCCCGCTCCCGCGGGGTAAGTAAGACATGCCGAGTCCAGACCAACCACCCGTTCAAGCTTCGCTTCCAAAAGACTTCGTCGAAGACAAAGTTCGGGGGATATACAAGCCAGGATTAGTTGTTCTGCAAAACGAAACAGTGATTATTTTAAGAAATGAGACATTTCAAGTCGGAAGCCAACTCCGCAACCATGTCAGCTGCCAATGAGAAGCTAGAACAAACAACCCACAAACAGAAACCAACAGAGTAGCAGAGTTGACAAGGGTGAATTGAATGTGTCCAATTTGCGGGGGATATTCCATGCTACCTTCTCCCACTCCCATTCCCAGTTCCCCTCATACGAACTGGGGAGCTTGGAGGGGGGGGGGGGGACAACGACACCGGCCACCAGATACCATCACCGGTGTGATGAGGGTTTACATACCTGCGTGCGGGATAATCAGGGGTGCGCTGTGCTCTTGTGTGGCGGATCTCCGCGGCTCGGAGCAAGCCACCAGCCCACAGGCTTGCCGTGCTTCAAGGACGGTGTTGACACTACTGCTTACTTACCTAAGGTCAAAATGATGAACTACGGTAGCCATACTATTCACAGTCACATCAACGGCACAACCCAATCCAATCTGATATGTATATTGCACAGTCTGCCCTCAGAGTAAAGTACCGGTAATGCCTCAGCAGCTAGCCTCAGACCCCATCCATCTGGTACCGCGCCGTTGCCCGAACCAGTCCGATCCAGCTATGTAGTGGTAACCACTAACCGACTCCGACTTCCTCTTTGGTGGTTTAGCCGACTGTTTTGTTTTCCTGTCCATTCCATCCAGGGAGATCCTCTCTCCCTTTTCCTTCCCTCCTCTCATAAGTACCTCAGTACCTCGCCCCGTCGAATGGGTCAGGCCCACCACGTCCTCCTGCCCAGGCCGAAACGTGCCAAGTAGATGTACAGAAGAAACCACACCCCGTACATAGCCAGACAAGTTCAGTCGCAATCCGCAATTACGAACAACGAACCGAAAAAGGAAATAGCCAAAAAGATAAAAAGCGACGCAAAATAGCAGAATGGCGTGGCGGTTTGTGTGTTCGGGTCTTGCCCATCCGTAGCGCGCAAGACTCCAACTCCACTCCCTTCCCACCGATAACCACTACCCACCACGACGCCACCCGCAAGACATAGCAGAGCAGAGCAAAACGGCAACACAATGCAGCCGAAACGCAAAGCACCCAAGCAACTAAGCCGAGCCAGCAACCCGCTCCTCGCTTCCTCCGAGGCGACAACCCAACCTAATCCACGTTTGACGCCCTTGCTTGATAATGCTATGCCATGCCATGCCTTGCGCCTTGCCATGTCTGCCCAGTCCAAAAAAAAAAAAAAAAAAGCCCTGAGAGTCGCCCCTAGCTCCCATAAACACCCAAACACCAGCCAGCCTTTGCTGTCTCAACAAAGAAAATTGATAATAAACGGAACAACGCAGTGCCAGTGGGTTCTTCTGGTGATGCAATCTCGTGGCGGCCTGTCCCGTTCCTCTCTACCCCATACCCCCGTCCACTTCCCCCTCCCCCAGCCCTCCGGGAACGCCGCGCTATTTGAGAGAGGATGGACACAGCATAGACAACACAGAGCAAAAGAGACAAAAAAAAACAAAAGAAAACAAGGGAAGTTGGTCATGTCAAAGCATGGCCGACCAGGTTCATAGATCCAGCCTGCCTGCTACCCAGGTTTAGATCCTGGGTGGGTGTGGTTTAAATGCCGCCCGGAAACGGCGACATGGAGTCGTCGCGATCTGCCGTTGAGACCGGCGGGCGTCGTGGGGTAGGATCCTCGTCCTCAAACGGGCCCCGGCGATCGAGAGCCGAGATTGGGCGCGGCGTCTCCTCAACATCGATGTCGGATCCGCTGCCGAATTCCGCTGCCGCTCCCCCAACGCCGGGCGGGGTGCACATGGCCGGGTGTGCTGGAGTGAAGGGGTTGCTATACGCCGGCGGGTCCAAGCTGGAGGGAAGGGAATCAAGCTGTGGGAATTCCAGCCGCTGTATTTCCTGGTTTGGCGTAGCCACCTGCGTACTCGGCTCCACGATACCCGCACTTTCCGGCCCAGTGACCATGCTGTCATGGCTGTTGGCGCGCATCATCTCAATGCCGAGCTTGGATGATGGCAAGCCCGACTTGCTGCGGTACTGCTGGCCCGAGGGTGAACCGGGGTTGCTGCCGTTCGCACTGCCACTGCCACTTCCGCTCCCACTCCCACTGCTCGTCTGGCCGAACTCGTCTTCTTCCTCATCGGCTGAGTCAACGCTGCCCTCGTACCGACGCTTCTCGATCGACTCGCGCTTTGCCTTGAGTTTCTCAAGTGAGCGTTGTGGCCCGGGGCCTTTGGTGCGCGCTGGCATGAGCTCGATTGCCGCGGGTGCAGACTGCGGCGTGGTGTGGCGTGGTTGAATGGGAGATGATGGTGGGTTATTGTAACCCACATGCATTTCTTCGGGCCCAAATGCGCCGAGCCCCCCCGTCGTCCCAGTCACCCGTGGCTTTTCTACTGATGAGAACCGGGATATGCGTCGGTTGCCACTGACTCCGAATCTCCAAAGAGACTGGAACCGATGGAGTCTTCGCGGGAAGCTTGCGCTCGATCGAATCAGGTAGCCCGACGAGGCAGATGTTGGACTGTCTTCGAGCCGCAGACTCTCTTGACGCAAGCCTGAAGGGACCGGGTGTGGCAGCGCCAGGGACAGCGAGCTAGTTTGACCGGGTACCGGGGCTTTCCAATGGCAAAGCGTACTCAGCACTTCGGTTAGCTTTGACGAGCTGATAGGCTTTTCGACGAGCGAGTCAAAGTACTGGGGCGCGGGCAACTCTTTTAAATAAGACGTGATGGCAACCATGGGCGTGTGTGTGTTGGCATGCTTCGTGTCGCGGATCATGCGGGCAACGTCAGATCCCGAGAGCTGTGGGAGTCGAAACTCAAGAAACATGATGTCAAACTTGATATCGCTCATGGCGTACCGGATAGCCTCGCTGCCCGTAGCAGCTGAGATGGTCCGGCATCGCAACTTCTCGAGTAGCTTCTCCATCACCATTCGAGATACAGGGTGGTCGTCGCAGATGAGGACGTCCAGCGGGCGAAACAGGGGACCGTCGCCGGCTGCGATGTACGACATGCGCCTCGAGCTTTGGCGCCGCCGTTGGACTCTGAGGAGTGCGTTCGCCTTATCGCCCTCGTTGTCCGAAGACGAGGGTGACATGTCGAATACCTGGCTTCTGCGGTTCCTATGGTGGGCTGCCAACATATCTGTAGTCACAGGGCTGCCATCCTGGGAGCCAACCGTGAGTGAGCGAGAGCGCCCGCCAGACGAGCTACTGCTATGTCGTGGGGTAGACATCACATGGTTTGGGACCGACTTCTGGGGCGAGACCGGCAATTGGGCAGGTGCGCTTCCCCGGCCTTTACTTGGCGATGCGGTGGCCGCAATGGTGGTGGCTGCTTTCTGTAAAGTAGGCGGAACGCGGGGCACCTCAAAGAAATTCCCAGGTTGCAATGAGTTCCCAGAGGGCTGGGACAAGCTTGAAGAATTGCTCGATGCTTTCCGTCGGCCTTCAGTTCCCGGGCCAGCGACAAACGATACCAACAAAGGGGACGACGGCTGCGAGACGCGGTTGGGGGAGGAGTGAGCCTGGCTGACACCAGACGGTGACTGTGGCCTGTGAGATGCTTTGGCGTTCGAGAGCGTCCTCTGAACCGGATTCGTGATAACCGGGCTGCCTTCGAGGGCCGGTCCCGGAGATGTGAGACTGCCCAGACCACCAGGGCTGATTGGCTTGCTCTGGGCCGCCATGGCCTCTGCTCGCAGCTTCTGGATCACATCCTTGTTTGCCTTCTCGAGTACGGGCAAATTCTTGAACGAAAAGTTGCCAAAGTCATCAGCCGCGGTCGGTTCGCTCAACCGCCTGCTCTTCAAGTCTCTGACATGCGGCGGAATGTGGAGCGGCATGAGGCCACGTTTCATCGAGTTAACCTGAGCTCTAACACGAGAAAGGGCATCATGTGGGCGATCGTGATAGTCGGCGGCAGGCGCAGTAGCAGGCGGCGAGTGCTGGTCTTCGATCTCCTCGGTAAAGGCTTGCAGGGTCGCGCCGCGGGCATCAAAATACTCGGTATCTTCGGGATTCTCAGGCTGCGGGACAAACTGGGCCTCGTCTTGCAAGAGCGAGTCCCAGTTCACCTCAGCAAACCAGGGGTGATTGCGAATCTCCTCACCGCCGCTCTGGAATTTCTCATCACGGTTGGACCCGAGCCGCTGTTGCGGATCCATGCAGAGCAGCTTGTTGATGAGGTCCTTGGCTTCCGGTGAAACTTCATCCTCGCTTTCATCCGGCCAGTGGATTCTACGAGCCAGAATGTTTTCAAAGACCATGTCCGCCTCGTCTGCGTTGAACGGAGGAATACCGTAAAGGAACTCGTACATGATGCACCCAACAGACCACCAATCGCTCGTCTCATCTTGCGGTTCACCCCTGATCGTCTCGGGAGCCAGGTAATCGGGCGTGCCGACGAATCGACGGTTGGTATCTTCGGGGTCGAACAGCGCCCAGTTGGGGGGCGGCATGGCTGGCTGCGGGGGCGTTCCCTTGTTGGACTCTGTGCTGTTTTGCGTGGTCGAGTGGGACAGCGAGGCAAGCGAGGCAAGGTCCGGTGAGCCAGAAACCTCGGCCTCGCCGCCCTCGGCAGGGGACAGAATAACTTGCGAGTTGTTCACGTGAGGGTCATTCAATGACAAGTTCCCGAGCATCTGCGGCAAGCTCTCGCTGCCTCCGCTATCGCTGCGGTGAGACGAGACGCGGCGCGGTTCATGTGAGAATGTCCCCAGGTTGAAATACGATGGCTGTGGCAGGACTGTGGTGGGATCGCTCGGCGTCATTTGCGGGGTGGAAGCTGGAGACTGGCTCCGGCCGTGGAGGTCTAACGACGTGGATCGAGACGAAGCCATCGAGGTAGATCGAGCAAACGGACCCTGCTTTAGGAGGTCAGGGGCAGCGTCAGTGCCGCAATTCAGGGCCCGCTTCTGCCGTCCGATTAATCCCATGCGCGAGAGACCGAAGTCAGTGAGCTTCAAGTGGCCCTTTTGGTCGATTAGCAGGTTGTCGGGCTTGAGGTCACGGTGAACAATGCCCCGGTTGTGCAGATGCTCGACGCCTAGCACGACTTCTCCGAGGTACTTTTTGGCCCAATCCTCGGAAAGGCCGCCCAAGATCTTGATCAGCGAGGCGCAATCACCTCCGTTAAGGTACTCCATGACCAAGTAGAGATAGTCTTTGCTCGAAAAGGTCCAGTATAGCTTTGCAACAAAGTCGCTCTCTCCTTGCCACATCATGATGGCGCGCTCGGCCTTGACGTTGGTGACCTGGTTCTTGGCAACCATGTCGGCTTTCTTCAGCACCTTGATGGCAAAGTACTCGCCCGTGGACTTCTTCTTTGACAGGTAGACACTGCCAAACGCACCTTTGCTGATGGGCTTGATAATCTCAAAATCTTTGATTGAGGGTGGGACCGCTTTAGCTTGCGGACCGCCCACAACGGCGCTGAGCCGGGGGGAAGGCGGGGGCTTCACTGCCACCTCACCCGGAACCGATGAAACTGCAGCCGAGGACTGCCTCCGATGGTGGTGGTAGGTGTGCGAGATGCTGGGCGATGTGAATTCGCTGCTCGGCAACATCGGCGACGCTTCGGGAGACATCAGGGCGTCCGAAGGGAACGGCAAGTTTCGAGGCTTGTGGATCCGGAGAGGTGACGAAGGGGGCTGGGCACCCCTCGAGGGTGACTCTTGTCTCCGCGGAGACACGGCGCCTGGAAGAATGAGACTTCTGCGGTGGTGTTGTCGGGAACTCGCCTGTCGGCGAAGGTCGCCAAACTCGGACATGGGAGAATCTGTCCGCTGTGGAGCCCTTGAGGCGACAGAATGGATGACCTGAGGCTGCCGTCGCTATCCCCAGCGTCACTCTCAAATATCATGGATTCCCGGCGAGATTGAGTGGCGTCTGTCAGGTTCCCGTGAGGGCCAAGATTGGATCGGGGCGTCGGACACTCCTTGGGGCTACTCGATCTCGGCGAATTCAAGGCCGACAACCGGCGCCTGTCGGGGTCGCTGCTGATATCGGCGTTCTGGAGTGCCAATGCCAGATTTGAAGGCGCATCGAAAGATCCGGCGAAGATGCCTTCTTCAATTGCAGGCGTAGCATCGGTGTCCCCATCCTCCTCGTCGGCAGAGTCGCTGAGACGGCCAGCAGCAATCTTGGCAGCCTTGCGTATGGCGGCGTCGATGCAATCCTGGACCATGTAGGCAAACTCGATCCGGATACGTTCCGAGTACTCGAGAATCCTGCGGTGACGGAAGATGGCCTCGACTTTTTCTTTGGCGAACTTCTCCGTGTCAGCACACAACAACGCCAGCCCTTGCTCCTGGTCCAGCGTATTCGTGCCCGGCGTTTCTCATTGCATCACTTGTGTAATTCGACTTTCTGATTGCGGCGATTGCGTGCGGAACTCACCAGGAGCCTGTGATGACTCCTTGATGGCGGGGGTGCTGATTTCGATGGCGGTATCGCAAAGATCCAGCAGCAATTCGACAATCCTGGCCTGAGGTCTGCGAATAGCAAAAGACCGAGCTCGCGCATGCCCGAAGCCAGAAGAGCGTTCGCGTGACCGACCGGGGCCAGTACCGGGTACGGGGGACGAGTTCCCCGATGAGCTGGAGGAGTTCGGGGGCCCAATCGCCAGACTCTTGTACTCGGCAACGGGCAACTTGGTCTGGTCCCCCACCAACGAGCGGCTGTGTCTTGCCTCGAGAGTGTCGAGCACCTTGACGATCGCATGGCGGTGCTCCGTGAGACCTTCCTGCGCCATCTGGACATCCATTTCAGCACGGTGCTCTTGCAGGCACAGATCAGTGTGCTTTTCAAACCACCATGGCGAAATCTGACGTTCGCATATCCGACAAAGGACAGGCAGGGGTGGGGGAAGCGATTCAGGGTCGTCCACACCCGACTCGGCGAGTTGAGTAAGGTAGCTTGCAAGCACCTCGGCGCCGGATCCCAGCGAATCAACAATAACGTTTGGCAAATCGATCTTGATCTCCCGCGGTGCGGCCCACTGTCGGATCATCCACATAGTCTAGAGCCTAGTATCAGTACTGATACGAAGACAAAGCCTCGGCAGAGCAAACTCACATGACTCTCCCCGCCCGAAGGCCCGGTGTAGACCATGATGCCTTGGGCCTCTAGGTCAATGACAACGGGCTCGGCGGTCTCCTCGGGTTCTTTGAGCATGTCCAAGGGAATAAGCTTAGACAGGGGCCCCAACCTGACTGCGAAACGAATGAACTGGCTCCGCCTGTCATCCTGGGTCATGCTCTCGACGACTTCGGAGAAGATATTGGAATTATCGCTGACGATGAGGTCGGCAATGGGGGTGCCCAGGACCGAGTCTGGCTGGGTTCCGATCACGTCAACCCAAGACGGGCTGACCCAACGGATTGTCCCATCAATATTGAGGTCCAAAATGACGTTCAAGGTCTGCTCAGCGGCGTCGCGGAGCTCCTGCCTCTCCTCCCGGATGTTCTCGCTGAGCGACCGCTCCCATTGGGGCGGCCCTTGAGAGAGGTCACAGCCGGGGGGAGCAAGCATGACTTGGCGTGGTAGAAGTTTGCCTCCTCCATTGTGATGATGTAGGTGACTGTTCCAGAAACCAAATTCTTGCCGAGGATAGCATCTGTAACGGAACCAGATCTATCAAGCCCTTATCACGGCTCTCTTGGCGCGCCGAGTGCGCGGGGTTGGTGGAGGGGTTGTCGTCCTCTTGCGGCGAGGAAGGACAGTCGGTGGTCTGGAGGTCCAAGGAGAACCAGCCAGGAGGTTTCTGGGCCAAGCTGCCAGAAGCTATAGCACAGCGCAAGCCCGAGACATAATGCGGTGCGGTTGACGTGGGAAGCCCCGCTGTGGTCCGAAGAAGAGGTCGTGATTTCGCGATCGAAGATGCCGCCCGATTACAAGACGTGTGTCAATGGCAACGAAGACTCTCGCGGGCCCTGTCGAGAGCGTTGTTCGTTTGTTCGTTGTCAAGGACTCGGTGCCTAATGGTGGTGGACTTGGTGCGGGTTTTGGCGCCGTGATCAGAGCAACGCGAGTCGGTGGCACGGCTGCAGCTTGTCTGGCCACGGCAATTCCGAGATGGCGCTGGGAGGACAAGCACTAAAAGGCGTCACCAGCATCAGAACGAGGATATCCCTCAGGATGGGTGGTGTTGTCGACGTCGACTTCGACTTCGTCGGGTGGCTTTTGTTGATTCAGAGACCAAAGTTAAAGTGGGGTTTCTTTGTTCGGCTCCGAGCTTCCTCGCAGGGAAGGAAGGGAGAAAGTGGGTGAGGTGATGCCCAACCAACGTTTCTAGCAAGCAAGGCAAGAAGCAACAAACAGCCAGTGGCTAGCTTGGAGGTGGGAAAAAAAAAAGTAAAAATTAATAGGTGTTCCCAGGTTTGTTGTGAGATTTGTTGTTTTGTTTTGCAAAGTAAATTTGGGAAGGAACACTCGGAGGTTGTAGTTGCAACTGAACTCGGCCGCATTTCCGTCCAAACGTCCACAGGGAGCAAGGGAAACGAGAGCCGACACGGAACTACCCTACCCAGCGTGAATTCAAGAACAAGTGCACAGAGCCGAGAATCACACTGTGACCCTCTCTCGCTTTCTTTTCGAATCGTGCTCGCGGCTGCTCGGCGCGCAGCGTGGGGTGCCGTTGGAAGCGGGGAACAGATAACTCTACCAATCAGAAATGCCAAAGTAATGGGCTTGAGGATGTGCCTGGTAGTGCTACCCAGAACGTGCTGACGGGAGCCACGGAACCAAGGTCGCGAGACTTTGGGCGAGCCGGGTCCACTCTATTTCTTCCAGGCTTGAGCCAGGTTTGCTTTTTCCCGCTGCGTCGCGCGGCCAGAGAAAGCCAAGCGTTGGATTGGAAAGCAAAGCAAAGTCAACAGAAACACTCTTGGCTCGTGCCTCAGGATGGGTTTCCGTCCCGACCAGTCACCATTCCGGAAAATTCGGGGACCACCTGACGAGGTATCATCGAAATGGGACGACATAACCCTGCAGCGGACCTGCACAGTGGCTCGAGAGTGGTGTGAAATGAGTTGCTGGTATGTAGGTTGTCCCATACCGCACTCTCTTGATGCCCCAATGGCCACGATCAGATTCGAATGAACAGGTACCATTTCTATCTTTCAGCCAGTCCCAGTTAACTCCATCACCCATTGGGGGTATCTGTTCGCTCGGTTAGTTCTTTTACCTTTTTTCTCTTTCCGCTTTACGCCCCGTTCTCGGCTCGCTATGATTCGGGCAACGGGTTGATCGCCAATTCAGCATGACCTGGATGATCTCCCCTCATCTTCAACGGCAGCGCCCAGAAACAAGCTGCTGGCCTGTCAAGCCCTGGAACCGTTCTCTGGTGGCATTCTGCTCCTGCATGACCCCGGGTCGCACGAGATGCCCGATGACACAGCCGATTTGCACCCGCAGGGCACCACGGTCTAGGCCGTCTCCAGTCGATTGGCCTCTTTCAACGCCGTTTCTCCAAGCCACTGCTAGCCGTTGGCCCCAAGACGGCTGATGTTCTCCAAACAGCTGCAGGCGACGAAGGACCCCTCCATCGTTGCCCAAGCAGCCCATTTACCCTCTATCTTCACATTTCCCCATGCCAGCCCTCCATATGCTGACTCGCATCGAATTTAAAGTCCACGAAAGTGAACCTCATTTTCCGGGGATCAATGACCGATCATGTCCTAGTGGTTGCGGCCCTCGAAGGCGATAGACAACGCGAGCCTGCGAGCCTAGAACCTCCTCGGACGCACAACGGGCACCGGCGGACAGTTCATCCCTGCCGTCCCCTCACGCGCTCACTCGTCCACAATCCCCTACTATGTACCGGGATGCCGAACTCCATATCGAACCTCGACCGGACACCCACCCAGCAGCTTTCGGGGACATGTAAACCAGGTTAGTCTAACCAACGCCTGGGAGCTACCGTCGGTTACGAAGTATACGGAACCAAATAATCAGAGCTCTGGGCACGCCCACCAAGACCACGCCAAGTGAGGAGGGGGGACATCGGAGGCCATCGCCCTCCACAGCACTTCATGTGTATTCCCGGGCTCACAAGCTGCATGCCCCGGGTAGGATTACATGCGCACTACTGCAAGTCCGTAGCCCTCGGGGTACAGGTGGTGCTGCACGGTGAGCTCCTCAGTTTCGACTAGCTTGAGGCTACTCTTCGTCTCATTACCCCCCGGAGTTTGCCACCCGTGAGACGCGGGGACGAGATTCGCCTCGGGCCACACCACCGCACCCAGACATGACGAGGTATTCCAACGGCTTCGTCCAGGTTCTCGATTTCGTCAAAGTTCTCGGCCCAGCGCTACCACAAACCACCATGCCGCAATGCACAACGGTCCCATGCTCCGCCTGCCCCGGTACACCGGTTCACAAGGGTGCGGGCCATTTCCAACCGTCCAAGCAGCTTCTCTATTCCCAGTTAATCCCACCGACCTGTAGCTCAGTAACCATGGGAAGGAGCCAAATACCTTTGTCAAAAAGAGTGTCATAACTAAACGTAACAACTCCAAGCCTGGTTCATTGCATGTTTCACGACAACATAAGTGAGACTTGCCACACACATATCATTCCTACAACGCGGTTTACCGGAAATAAGGGTTACAGCATCAACATCAACAAACGATTTCACCCCACGATATAGAGCAATGAGGCGTAATTCCAAGTCATCTTGACTCAATACTGACAAGGGTATGTACACTATCCGAGTGGCAAACGATCACCTCTCTCTAGATTACTTCGTACCTCCGTATTTTGACGCCTCGCTTGTGAAGAATGCAACTTCACTAGCACAAGCATATAACTTCAAGGTCGCCACATCTTAACCAACTTTAGCGTGTCACGCGACTGGTTGAGCTCTCTGATGAAATACTAGCTGAAGGCAGCTCCGCCCTTGTCTGCAGACCGACGGCCTCTAGAGTGTCTCTTCCCTCTTCTGCTGGGGTAGACATTGTCCGGGTTGCGAGGCGGCTCTTCGAAACGGTTGTTAACTCCAATTCGTATGCTGCGGCCCTCTTCGACTCAAGTGAGACGTTGTCCACATCCTCTAGTTCATTAACAAGACTCACAATATTGCGAGGTCTCTGATGTTCCACACCTTTCTTGCATTTATCCAAGCCTTCCTTATTCTCGACTTAGGCGACTCCAAAACCACGCCGCCAATGGAGTCGGCGGGGTTCGTTGAAATGGGTCAAGCAGAAAAAGAAGCGCTCATCCATGCAGTGCCACTCGACCATGGCGGAGGGCTCGATGACGGTGATGGGGATCATGCCTTCTTCGTCCCTGTGCATACGCCCGCCAGCTCAGCTCGAGGCATTGACAAATAGAAAAGGACTTACGCAATGCCCGGGTGTGAGTGGGTGGACCATGCTGGGCGATAAGTTTGTTCCCGATAGGCTAGCAGTTTCAAAGCGACTCCTCGATCAAACGGCTGATCATCCTCTCTCGTGCTCCTATATGAGCTGGTCGGCACGTTGCTGTAATATTCACTCAAGTGCACTGTGTAGTTATGATGGGGCAGAGTGGGAAACCTGGACAGAGGAGGTCCTATGGTCCTTCAATAGGTGACACAAGAGAGGGCGTGAAGCCTCACAGATGACGTTTGTTGTGGAAATTCCCACACACAGGCAAGGGCAACACTTTAAGGTGAGGGGATACCCACACACACAAGGCGGTCTGCTTCCCCAAACTTACCCCGACTTTTGTCTTCCTTCAGTCGCTCTCCGGTTGCAATCCACTCTGTCAATGTATTTGATGACCGGTGAATAACTCGGCCAAAAAGCTCCGGTGCAACACCCAGATTGTCGTTGTAACCTGTGCTTGACGCCCGGCTAGACCTCGCTCCGAAAAGCCTTTCTTGCAGAGACTCGTGACCTTTCCAAAGATCGTTGCCCGATCGCCAACGGCGTCATTCCGATTCACTTTACTACAAGAGCCCCGAGTTACCACCTCTAGAGTACGTCATCGGTAGCCAGGCAGAACAAGGCGGCCGTTGGTAGCAAACAAGCACGTTATGCCCCCTTTTCTCGTCCTCTTCCCGCCCCTGTCCACTTGACGTCAAAACCTCGCTCAGCATTCACGGCAATCAAGCCTCCAGCCTGTTGAGCCAGACGCCCGAGTTCGTAGACGCTATCTACTTCCAAGCTCATTGACGGCGTGGGCTGTAACTGTCGGAGAATTGTGGCCAACAGAATGAAGTCAATGTTGACCGCAATTATTCGTCAGGGTTGCCTTGACGAAGAGTTGCGTAGTCTCAAACTCGCCATCAAGGGGGGCCAAAGTCAGAATCGTCGCTCCCATTTCTCGATGAGCCAACACCCCTGAGAGGTGTCATACACCAAGAAGAGACACTGTTAACAATGTTTTCTTAACGAAAGCGTGTTCATTTTGTTGTATATGTTGGCTAAAATAACTCAAGGTTTGCCTTTAAGCCTTCTCATACAAAATCCATCGCATAAATCATGGGAACTCCGGGCGAGTAAAACCCGCAGGAGAGGAAATCAGACGGTCTGATTAGAGAGACGGATGGGTGGTAGTCAACTTAAGAGCCGAGGCCCACTCCGCGACCCGATCTGGCCTGCCCCGGACTTGCAACGGCGGAGAGCGGCCGAAAGTGGAGTCCCGGGCCGGGGGGCAACGCTGATGTCGACGACGAGTTCACGGTTTCGGGTCCCCCGCGAGGAACAATGAGCATGACGACGGCACACGAGAGACGGACGGCAACGACGCAGACGCGAATGTGGCACAGACTACGACGAACGAGAAGAAGAAGAAGCGTAAGCGCCCCCACAGGGCAGAATTGAAAGGAGGAGCAGAACAGGTACCTGGAGTGAGAGGTATGGGGGGCCCTAGACGAGGATTGTATGTGGAGTAACAGTGTACGGATAAGAGTAAACATATATGAACGACGATGGAGGATGGCGAGGCTGATTGGAATTGTAAATACTTGAACATGTACGACTAACACATGACATCTGTCGGTGTGACATTTGTCGACGGGACGTCGACGAAAAAGAACGCTCTGGAGATCAGGGGTGGCACGATTTGCAGGCCGCATCCCATCACCCAGGCCTAGCTTACTTGGGGTTTCGCAATCCGGGCATTGTGTAGACAGCGTGGTAGATAGGCACCCACCCCTTGCAAAAAAAAGCCAAACTCCAAGTGTACCGAGATGGCGACGAAAGCCCAAAATCTATTCGTAGTTTTTTTTTTTTTTTTTTTTTTTTTTTTTCTCGTCGGCTTCTTCTTTCCTTGGTTTCTTCTTCTCGGTCTCTTTTACCACTGTTTATTTTCTTGGTTTCCTTTACTTCTTTTCTTTCCTTGCCTTTTTGCGTCCTTTCGAGTTCGGCTTTTTTTTTTGTCAGAAAGTGGTAGGCTTGTTCGGATGGCGCGCGAGAACTTGGCGTGATAGAACCGGGGCCACGTGGGACGGATATAAGAGGATTCTGCCCATGGAAGGTTGCTCTCTGGTAGATATGAGGGCAAAAGTCCCATCCGCTGGACAACAGCGAAGACCAGAAGGCGTCGTCAGGTTGTGTAAACTACATATACGACCAATAGGCCTCACCCACTCACTCCAAAAACCCAACAAAGCAGATCCTGCACCCCCACCCCACCCAAACCGAATCCCCCCCAACCTCAACCAGCCCCGGACACCGCATCCGCGGCGACGCTACCCGGCAGCCCCCCCTTCCCCCACCCCAACCACCACCACCGGCTTGCCCTCGTCCTCGTCACCATCATCGGCAGCAGCACCCTTGACGGGTTCGTCCTCGTACCGCGTGGCTCCCACGGGGGTGTTCAGGAGCCAGCGCAGCAGCAGGAGGGCGTCGGGCGGTGGTTCCTTGCCCCGCAGGTCGAGCTGGCGGGACTGCCGGATGTTGGTCTTGTTGGTTTTGGCGTCGAGGTGGGCTTTGGTGAGGCGCGCGTGGGTTTCCCATTGGAAGGTGTAGATGAGGGCCTGGGTAGAGGGGGGGTTAGTGAGGATGGTGGCTGTGGAAGGCGTGTTTGTTGTTGGGTGGGGGAAGGGCAGAAGAGAGAGGTTGTGCGTTGTGAAAAGGCGGCTTACCGGCTTGGTGTGATGATCGGTGAAGCGCCCCGGGCGAATTTGCTCTCGCAGCAAAGTAACAGCGGCGTCGAGCTCGCTCCAGAGCATTTTGCCTTCCGGCGCCACGTTTGGGTCGAGCATTATGATTCCCATATGGGGCTTGTCGGCCGCGGTAGGAACCCGGTAGTAGTTGGGTAGGTACATAGTATCGCTGTAATCACCGCCGATTGGGGGGGTAGGGAAGTCCATGTCTTCTTGGTCTGCATCCGTATAGTTGTTGCTTGTCTGCCGTATTAGTACATGGCGATCCTGGGGATGGTAATGGTGAGAAAACAGCGTACATGGGATGCATTTCACCGTCGTAGTCGTATTGTAAGCTAGCCAATATGCTATCAAACCAATGCGCCCTCATCGTTGCGTATATGTAGCCCGCGTTTTCCACCCATTCGGGATTAAGGTGCTTCTAGTCGTTGAGAGTCTCGCGCCACACTTCTCGGGCCTGGTCGGCCTCTTCCTCCAGGCCGCTGTCCTCATCGTAGCGGGGGGAGAAAAACAGCGGCTCAAAGTCGCATGGGCATTGGTTGTCGACATCGAGGTTCGTCCATCCCACAACACCAAGCGCCTCAAGGTCGGCGTCATCCAAATGGAGGGACATCGTTCATGGATATACTCGGTCAAGGCGCACAGCATGTCATATATATTGTGTGCGCTCGAGACAACGTCGGCAATCTTGCTCCATGCTAAAAATTGAGAGAGGCCTGGTGAATTGTCCACTTTACTGTTGGGGGTCTTTAGGGGGTTTGTTTTGTTGTTGTGTCACTCGACCACCATTCACGTTGTTGTCGCAGCATTGAGTTAGTTAGCCCGAAAGTTGTGATTCTAACCAAATCTGGTTCAGAAATCCGGGAGAGAAATCCGGGGAATGCCGGCACACGCCGCCCTGATTTTGAGATTTTAGGATTTCAGGGCAGTGTAGCTCAATATTTGGGGGGAGGGGGTTGCTCTCATGATTCATGGCCCGCATCGACGATGCGCCTCGTGTGAGTAAGCACGACCGAAACCGAGTGGCGCAAATAGGTGCCAAGTAGCCGGCAGCGGTGAGGGCAAAATACTTGATTATAGGTCACATCTAGCCATTTAGACACAATCATATAGAATTTAAAAATAAAGTTAGTCGGATATTCACGGTGTTGAGGTTTCGCTGGCTTCCTGGTTTAGTGTTGAAAGTTTAGTTGACTTGCCCCCTGAAGCGATGGAAGGAACCACCGGGAGCAGGTGGCAGGTTGCCCCAAGATTGCGCGGTCCACAAATAGTTGCATCGGCTCCATCGAGTGGCTCAGCCCCTGCATGACTTCCTCCATGTACTGGGCGGATGCTTACAGCTTCAGCTCTTTGGCGTGGAAATTCGTCTACCTTGGCTTTTTTCTACCTTTTCCTTGTCTTGTCACAATTGATCGGATACGCAAAGCTTGACGCGCAGTGCCCTGCGAAGTCACTCGGTTTTTCGACACGTCCGGGGCTCCGGACACTATCAATTCAGGTGGTCCCACAATGCCTTAGCCCTGTCACTAACAACTCCCTTCACTGCATTCGACAGTTAACCACCTTACTCATCTCTACTCAATCAATCGATAACTCAAATCTTGGGCCCTCCCCGGCGGTTGCAGCAACATCAAGGAGGATCTTCACACATGGCTCTGTCCGCAACTGTTTCATAGCTTCCCAACCGTCACTCACCTTTATGCTCGAGCCACACCCTGTCCCGCGCCAAGCCCGTCACTCCCTCATAAGCATGAATTGACACCTCGAGTCCTCGAGTCCTCTCGCTGTAACCACCCTATCCGTTTACCTTTGTCGGTCCTCAACACCACTACCGCAATCTGCGTCAAAGACATCCCGGGGCAGATCATTACCTCAGGTATGTTCGGAGTAAGTTTGTACGACGGCCGCGCGCATCCCTTTCGATCAAAGCTCTTAAAAGACAGATCGACCCCGCTTGTCTATTGCCTACCTTACCTACCTCCCAGAATCACCTCCGAGACTTGGGATACATGCTATCAAGATGGCTACTAACTTCGGACCCGTAGCCACTGCGGCTTACCCTTCACCAACCAGCTTCTCATCTCCTACGCACAGGAGGCCGTCTGTTCCATCGCTCTACGACTGGCCAGCCATGACATCCCTCTCCCCGAGCCAGCCCTCTCAGAGGGGGTTTGGTGGCGGGCCCACCGGCCATGACAAAACTCCCTTGTCGACGCTGAACCTGGATTTTCTCAAATCTGTGAACGAGAAGAGGACGACAAGGGACGGGCAGCCACAAAAGCGACGAGGTCCGAAGCCAGATAGCAAACCGGCCCTGACAAGGCGGCAAGAGCTCAATCGGCAAGCTCAGAGGTGAACATGACCCAATTAGCAAGGGGATCCAATTGCGGACTTTAGCTAACCCACGGCAGAACCCACCGAGAGCGGAAAGAGCTTTACATCAAAGCCCTCGAGGACGAGGTGCTGCGGCTGAAGGAGATCTTCAGCCATATTTCCCAAGACAAGGCGCGCCTGCGGAAGAAAACTCGGCAGCTCTAAAGCGTTGCTAGCTCAGAATGGCATTGGTGGATCACTGCCTGGTGGCAGCGTACTGGACGACTCTGGCAAGCAACCCGAGCGTCGGCTACTCGCCGAGCGCGAGCATGGGGGCTAGTTACGCGCCGGCGTCCAGCAACACGAGCGCCTTCACGCCGCCGCCTCTGTCAGCAGGCAGTGGCGGCCGGGGCGGGGGGATATCGCCAAACAGCGCGACCTACCCCCACGGCCACAGCCACCACCAACACCAACTTTCCGGGCAGGGGAGTAGTCTGGGTACTGCGACGGGCACTGGGGGCCAGCCGAACCAGCTTCCGAACATAGACTACGAGCAGGCCGGTGTCGACTTTGTGTTGACGTAAGTAGTAGAACGAATCCCCATCACCAAAGACCACGACCCCCAAAGAGACCAACCAAAACTAACCCACCCACCCCACCATAGCCTCGAGAACCCCTGCATGAACCACCTCCCCTGGATGCTCGAGCGGGCCGTCACAACCGGCATCCGCGAGCCCTGCGGCCACGCGCTCATGGCGTCCTGCCCACCAGAGCCCTTCTCCGAGCTCTCCCCCGACATCCCCTTCGGCCAGCAACCCCAAGCCCAAAACGGCAGTGGCGGCGGGCATACCCACCCCCACAACCACGCCCCCGCCGAACACCCCGGCCCCAACCCCAGCCCCGGCACTGGCGCGGTCCCGGGCCGCGGCCGGAGGCACGTGGAGGCTCAACAAGGGCGATCTAACGACGCTGCTGGACCTCAGCAAGCGGCTGAACCTGGACGGCGAGATCACCCCCGTCATGGCCTGGGGCATGGTGCTCGCGCACCCGCGCCTCGCCGAGCTGCGCCCGGAGGACTTTGCGCGCCTGGCAGAGGAGCTCGGCGGGAAGGTGCGCTGCTATGGGTTTGGCGCCGTCATGGAGGAGTTTGAGGTCCGGGATGCGTTGGAGAACGTGTTTTCGATGAGGCCGGATTTTGGGGTGGGTGGGTACTAGCCAGGTAGGGAGGTGTTGAGTTGGGTAGGGTTGGCGGTTTTGGTTTTCTTTTTTGCTCTATTTTTTTGGTTGTTTTTGGATATGTATGGATGGGCTGGTTGGTCGGCTTGTTTGTCTTGCTATTTTATTTTATTTATCGTTTATAGGATTATAAGTAGTCTTGAGCATACTCACATCAGTTCATGTCATTCCTAGAAGGGCCAGCGGTGCCACTATCCGCACTGTGCCTGCTCACACTCCCACACCTGAGCCTGGGAGGATGATGCCCCACACCACACAACCCCACCAAAGAGAATTTCGACCTCGAAAATAAAAGGAACCTGGGAAGCTTTGCCCCGTCCCGCAACACCAGACGCCGTATCAACACCCTTGTCGATCCCGCGGCAAGAGGCTTCCATTTTAAACCACCGCCCTCCCCACATCACACGTCTCGCTCCAATTTTTCACCGGCAGACAAAAAAAAACCGACCATGGCGGAATACACGGCGGGCACGTCGCCCCTCGTCGACCTGATCAATTCGCTGCCCGATTCCGACGGCACCTGGGGGCCCCCCATCACCAACGAGACCACCCTCAATGGCGTCCCCTACGCCCCCTTCTCTAAGAGCGACAAGCTCGGCCGCATGGCCGACTGGACTGACGCCAAGGATGGCAGGGACGGCCGTGGCAGACAACAATACAACAGGAATTACCGTGGTGCGTTATCGCCCTGTGTCGCAAGGAGGGGTCATGTCTTTTTTTTTTTGTGATGGTGGACTGACGATTCTGGTGTGCATGCAGACCAACAAGTCTACGGTGCAGGCTCTGCGTCCCTCTTTGCGCCTCCCGCAGCTGAGGACGAAGCCTCCTTCTCCGTTGTCTCCAATGTCCGCGACACAGGCAAGACCCGCTTCGGGCGGGGCGCCATCTTCACCCGCGGCCGGGGGCAGCGCGGCCGTGGTGGCCAGGATACCAGAGGCGGTGGTCGCCAGCAGTTCCAGCGCGGCGGGCGCGGCGGCCAACAATACGGCGGCGGCGGCTATAGCGACCGTGGCGGCGGGCGGGGTGGTGGTGCGCGCGGGCGTCGCTTTGGCTGGAAGGACTACGACAAGCCGCAGCGCAACCGCGACGCCTCGGTCAACATCAGGCCCGACTGGAAGCTCCTTGAGGAAATCGACTACAACCGCCTCAGCAAGCTTAACCTGGACACCGACGAGGGTGAGGATGTGGACAGCTACGGTTTCCTATACTACTACGACCGGTCGTACGACAAGCCGCCTGTCAAGAGCGCCGAGCGCAAGCTGGCTGTTGTGGACCGCGCCGTGTACAACGTGACGACTTCGTCGGATCCCATCATCCAGGAGCTCGCCGAGAAGGACGAGGCCACCATCTTTGCCACCGACAGCATCCTCTCGATGCTCATGTGCGCCCCGCGGTCCATGTACCCCTGGGACATCATCATCGTCCGGCAGGGCAACAAGGTGTTCCTCGACAAGCGCGACAACGCTGCGCTCGACATGGTCACCGTTAACGAGAACGCGGCCGACGCGCCGCTTGAGGCGTCCGAGGGCTCCAAGGATGTCATCAACCAGCCCGGCGCGCTTGCGGAGGAGGCCACCTACATCAACCATAACTTTGTCAACCAGGTCGTGCTCGAGAGCTCGAACCAAAAGGTCGATATGGCGAACGAGAACCCCTTCCACAGCGCCTCCGAGGAGACGGAGCCGCCCGCGTCCAAGGCCTACAAGTACCGCCGGTTCGACCTTTCTACCAGCGAGGAGACCCCCACATACTTGGTTGTCCGCACGGAGTTGGACGCCGTCCAGAAGAACCCCACCAGCGGCGAGGACCAGTTCGTCACGGTCCATGCGCTGAACGAGTTCGACAGCAAGGCCCAGGGCAGCGGAGGCGCGCTCGACTGGCGCACCAAGCTGGTGTCGCAGCGCGGTGCCGTCGTTGCCACCGAGATGAAGAACAACAGCTGCAAGCTGGCGCGCTGGACCGTGCAGAGTATCCTGGCCAAGGCCGATGTCATGAAGCTTGGGTGAGTCGATCCCTCGTCTGCAGACTAACACCCATGAAATAATAGCCTGCTAACAAGAGTTCAGCTTCGTCTCCCGTGTGACGCCCAAGGCGAACGACAAGCACGTCATCCTCGGCTGCGTGGGCTGGAAGCCCAAGGACTTCGCGAACCAGATGAACCTGCAGCTGTCCAACGGTTGGGGTATCGTGCGCACTATTGCCGACATGTGCCTGCAGCGCGAGGAGGGTAAGTACGTCCTCGTCAAGGACCCCAACAAGAACATCCTGCGCCTGTACGAGGTCCCCGCCAACGGGCTGGATGATGATGATGAGGGGCCGGAGCCCGAGGGGGTGGCCGAGGAGGAGGACTAAACTCGGGATTGTGTGGGTGTTGACGGGATCTATTTGGCTGGGTGGGAACAAAAGCGAAATAAACAGTGAGTCGGTCGATGGGTTTAGTTAGCCTGTATATCTTGACCGCCCTCAGCGGAGATTCAATCAAATGGACCCTTGAATCAATGCTACCAAATTCAAGTTCCCGTGTGTCCCATCACACTTATCATGGTGTCGTTGTCGTTGGTGCTGTCATTACCCACCGAGCCCCTTTTTTCATGTTACAGTAATTAATGTTCACGTGACAGCGCGAAGCCCAGTGGCGTCTCAACCCCCACCTTTCCCGCCGAGAACCGCGTTTTCCAATTCAACATTCCCACTTCCAAGCCCTCGAACCACTTTGTGCCTGTCGCCGCAACCCCCATCTTGACCACCACCCTCGCCTATACCCCAACCGGAGATAAGGTCGACGAAATACGCTCTAGGAGTCGAAACAATGGCACCGTTGGCGAAATCAAAACTCTCCCAAACCCGATTGAAGACTCCCCAAAAACCTGCCGCAAGAAGCACAGGCCCATTGTCATTGCCCTCTGCAACAAAAGGGGCGAAACCGAAGACGAAATCGAAGCCGAATCAGAGTATTCTGAGCTTCTTCAAGAAGGCGCCCGCGCCGGATGAAGAGTTGTTTATTGGGGGAGGCGACAATGGGGTAGTAATGGAGGAGGTGGAGGAGGAGGGGCAGGCGAAAGAGGTACAAGAGGAGGATGACGATCTATATGAGGCGAGTCCCTCTCGCGCAAATTGTGAAGGGGAAGACGCGGGTGGGGACGACGTCAGGTATAATGAGGTTATGGGGGCGGTTAAGAGGCCGCGGTTGAGTCCCGCGTTGGAACTTGGCTCTAGTTTAGTGCGCGAGAAGGGGGAAGTGTCCCGTCCGGGCTCACCAGAATACCTCAAGCAAACGGACTCAAAAACGGCCTTGAAAGCAGGCCCAATGGCCGCGCCAAAAAGGAAGGCAGGCAATCCGTTCCTGGACGAGTCTTCTGACGAAGAGGACGACGACGGAGACGACAAGGAGAACGAGCCGGTGTCATCGGCAATACCAAGGGTGAGATCGCCGCAGCGTGTGTTTGATAATTCCAATGGGGGGGGCCGAGGCACTGGACCGGCGAAGCTTACCAATGGGACGACCATTTCCAGGAAGCCGCCGCTTTTGAGGCAGCAGACGTCGGGCGCGGATCTGGGAGGTGACGATAACCAGGCCGGCGCAGCGCAAGATGGCATTACAGAAGACAACGACGATGTCGACCCATTCGAGGACGAGGATTTTACCGGCGAAGAACTTAGGGCGATGCGATACATGGAAGAACAGGCGCGGCTAGAAGCGGAAGAGGGGGGCGAAGAATACGAAAGGAACGACTTTGTTGACGACGAAACGATGACGGAGTGTTGTCCGGTCTGTAATGGCAGCCTCGCGGGCGCAACGCCAGACCAGGCGACTGCGCATGTCAATTCTTGTTTGGATGGGAACCCGACCCCTTTACCAAAACCGCCCGGTGATGTTATCGAAACTGAGGGTGCAGCTGTGGGTAAGCGGTTTGCTAAAGCTGCTGTCGCGCGGCCGGGGCAAGCGAATCCTATCAGTCTCGGAGCTGAAGCTAAGGAGAAGTCGTCAAACTCGGCATTTACGAAGTTGATGTCTGGCCACGCCGAGGATGCTGCTTGGTCGACGGCTGCCGCGGCGGAAACTGCTGCTAGGGGAATGCCCGCGTACAAGCGGACCTGCCCCTTTTACAGGATCATGCCCGGATTTTCTATCTGCGTGGATGCTTTCCGTTATGGCGCCGTGGAAGGCTGCCAAGCATATTTCCTGAGTCACTTCCACAGCGATCATTACATAGGCTTAACCGCCAACTGGACGCATGGTCCGATCTATTGCAGCAAGGTTACGGGGTCTTTGGTCAAGTCCCAGCTGAAAACGGCAGCCAAATACGTCGTTGAGTTAGAGTTTGAGAAGACAGTACCGGTCCCGGACACCAACGGAGTCATGGTCACCATGATTCCGGCGAACCACTGTCCTGGAAGCTCACTCTTTCTCTTCGAGAAGACGACTGGTGGAAGAACGCAGCGAGTCCTTCATTGCGGCGATTTCCGGGCATGCCCTGCCCATGTTGAGCACCCGAAGCTGAGGCCCGAGACAGTCGATGCCATAACCGGCCGGACGAAACAACAGAAGATAGACGTATGCTATCTCGATACCACTTACCTCAACCCTCGCTACTCATTTCCCCCGCAAAACGACGTGATAACTGCCTGTGCCGAACTCTGCTCCCTCCTCAACAAAGGCCTCCTCGCCAATGACGACCGCGAATGGTGACACCCTCCTACGCCGGCAACGCGGCGGCGCCTCTGCCAGTAACAAAGTTGTCAGCAAGTTCTTCACTACCGCCTCTTCCTCCACATCAACCAAGCCCACCCCTCCCCCGCCCAACAACGCCTTCGCGGCCCTCAACGGCCGCCACCACAACTCCAATCGCCTTCTCGTGGTTTGCGGCACCTACAGCATCGGCAAAGAACGCATCTGCGTCGCCATCGCCCAGGCCCTGCAAACCAAAATCTACGCCACGCCCGCCAAAATCCGCATGTGCAAGCAGCTCGACGACCCAGAGCTCGCCTCACTACTCACCTCCAACCCCACCGAAGCCCAAGTCCACATGCAAATGCTCATGGAGCTCCGCGCCGAGACCCTCTCCGAGTATCTCTCAGCATACAAAGCACGCGGCGAGTTCAGCCACATCATCGGCTTCCGCCCCTCCGGCTGGAAACTACCGGCCCCCCTCCACCACCACCACCCCCATAACCGCCAACCTCCCCCCAACCTCCCTCCCCACCACGCACCTCCTCCACAGCCCATCTTGGCGCCCGCGGTTCGCGGACGCGCGAACCTGGTCCCGCAGCGTGGGGGGCACCGCGGAGGCGCTGTGCTTCGGCGCGCCCTACAGGCGAGCACAGCAGTTTTCGCGAGCTGGCGCTGTTTTGTGATGGCGCTGCGCATCGAGCGCGTCGTGCCGACGGTGGGGGTGGGGGAGTGAGGGCGGGAAGCC